GAAGGAACTTTAATGTTTTCTTCCCTTTTGTTGACCTTCACAGACGGTCACTAGTTATGACAATATCCCTTTGTTTACAAAAAGGTTTTCTCAACCTTATTGTTTGTAACATTTCGTAAGGTAGTCAGGTTAAATAATACCACGTGTAAAATGTGTATAATAATAATAATATTTATTTTTCAAAAAAATTTTATACATAGGTTTAAACTCAATGTTACAATTGAGTAGCTTCTGTGCCTGAATGAGGTTTATATTCTAAACCTGAATCTCATTATTAGATGAGATGTATGAGATTTATTAGTACTAATATATATTAAAATAAAATTATACAATTAAAATTAAAAAATTAACAATTTACACCATAATAGACAAATACATATACAAAACATAAACCATGAAACTGGTCATATAGAGTATAGAACCGGTTTCATATATATTATATATGTTTTTCATAGTTTTATGGTTATTTAATCTAATTCTGCACAACGGAATTTCATTCTGGAACTCAAAATAACGTAACAACATATTGATTTATTATTTTGATCTGATTAATCCCGACGAACTCGCATAAAAATCATAGTGAATATAACAAAATCGAAACAACCTTAAGGAACCCTCAAGTTTTATATGTTTCATTTACTTAATGTGATTGGTTGTGCTATTTGTGCTTTTTGGTTTTACTTTTTGATTTGGAGATTTTTAAATAAAAGTAATAACGATTTTAAAATCCTATTATACCCCCTAAGCAGCTTTATTTTTCGTTAAAATTTCTAAGCGTATCTCAATATCACAATAACTATTAGTGTGTCCATATTCAGGTCGCCTACTGCATTGGGTTTCCGAATCTGTAATAATACGGCAAAATTAAGAAACAGTTGTGTAGCTCCGCTACGAAATAAATAATGCTATGCAGTATTATAATCGACGAGGACGACTACGTGACCACGTGTGTGCTACGGTCACAGAGCGCACCCACTAATAGTCTGTCAATCGGCTTAGATATGCATCATCAAATTTTAAAACTACTAATTACTAACTGACAATCAAGGCCCAAACGATTAAGTAAACGCAACGAATAAAGTGTGTAGAAAACTTCAAAATACCTTATTAAAGGTAATAATGTTTACGTTATATTTACTTAAATAATATGAACAATATTATTTAAGTAACTATATAATTCTCTTACTACATAAAAAAATATTTATATTACAAATAAAGTTACTAACATTCAGATGATAAAATATATGTGCCTGAGAATCAATGTAGTTGTAGAAGTATTGAAGAATTGAAAAAAGATAAAAAGGCTTTAAAAAGGTTTAGATAGATAGATGGTTCAATATTCTTACGTGTAAAAGGTGTATAGAAATTATTGCTGTTTGATTTATTTTATCTCATCTCTGTCTATTTTCATCTGTAATGTTTCGGTATAAATAAATAAGTTCAAAGACTGTTCGTGACATTATCACAAACTTTTAAATCAGTCCCATCGTATCTGATTTATTTTTGCAAATAGATATTTTAATATCATGCATATTATGTTTATATTCTTATTATTATGTGTTATTCCATTTCCTTAGTTTTTTCAATGTATATATGATTACCTAATGAATCAGTGTTTAATAATTTAATGGGCAGATGGTATGCGATTTCAACATGAATTAATTCTGAAAATTAATTATTTTTAAATAATTAATTTATTATTTACATTATTTTTAATTCATTATTTTTAAATAATTAATTTGTTTGTAAATTAATTAATTTGTAAATAAATTAATTAATTCTTCTGAATGCAGGTAAAAGGTAACTTAAAAACAGATTATGCATAGCCAACAAATCATGTATGCATTGCCAACAAGTTCATGTCGAATTCCCAAAACCATGGGAATATTAGAGATAGGAATGTTCTTCTCGTCTAACGAGTTTTGAAAATTAATAATAGAAAAAAGATGGAGATCGGAGAAAAGTGTGAGTGTTAATAGTTAAATATGGATATTTGAATAACTAAATCAATTAATGAACTTCAATAGAATAAAGTCTATAAAAAAGAATTCATGCTAACTTTGTAAACTCATGGTATTTTTATTACTTATTATAGGATATTCCACAATAAGACTTTACAAAATTTTCAGTAAACTAGAATAAGGGTTTTATAGTTAAGCTTTGCACGTGTTATTTTTGGGACATAGTTTATATCAATACGTACTGATTCTATTCAGAACCACAAAGTATTAAATGCAATTAATTATTAATAATTATTTTCATATCATAATTATTAATATTATATTAAAAATACGAACAATGATAAATTTTTAAGCTTTATTTACTAAGAAAAATATATTTTTCATATCAAAATTGAATTTTCAATAAATGAATGTGAAAGAAACAATAAACTACATAATTAGTATTAGCATACTTATTAACTAACATTTTATTAAAATACCACGATGACTTATCAATGAATTTGCTTTACAAACTGTATTGAAATACAAAAGGTCAGCCAGAGGTTTGGTCAGTTCAAGTGCAACCACCGTCGGGGGTACACGATACAACTGTGCATTAATTACAAACTTAAATTCTGTGAGTGACTTAGTCTGTGCTGTTTTGGGTATGTATTTATTTTTGTTACTTGTTCCATGATATATTTATATTTTGATACAGTCACTGTGATTTATATACAAATAATTTGGATATATTTTATTTGTTAATATATCTAAAATATAATACAAAAGTTTTTATAATTAAAAGCTTTTTTATTATATTTTGAATATTTATGAAATAAATAATTTCCTTTCATAAATAAATAAGATTAATATGAATCGGAATAAATATTATAAATTTAACGTAGTAAATGTGTATCTGTGAAATTAATTTGTCTTGAATAAACTGATAAAAATTAATATTTAATAAATAAATAAATTTAATAATTTGTTTTGCGTTAGTTACTTTTATATTAGTAAATCAATATAAATGTGCAGTCTTTTTAATTATATTCATCAGTAAAAGTTGCTAAATCAAACTTACTTGGTAAATGAATTACTATAAAGGTAACAAACAAGTATTTTTATATTTTACTGGATATTGATATTTGTCTTTACTACAATATGTTCATATAACAAAAGATCGAGACATATATTTTATATTATTTTATCTTTTAAGATTACTTATTTAATAAAAATATAAATACTTTCCAAACTCCAAACTAATTATATAAGTAAAAAATCGTACATTTTCCATGTATACTTTTATATGGTGATAGAAAACTACTGTTGATCAATATATAGTTCTACTACTGAATAATGCATGCAATCGGTAAATATCGATATCGATGTGCAGTGAAGACAGTTATGTCGTCGATTGCGGATTTTCCAACAAGTTTAAATGAGCCTTTGCAGTTTTACAAAAATCCCAAACAGATATAACTATATATATGTATATAATTTGCCTTCTTTGTTTTCTTATTAAAATGTTAATATACGTTTTAAACTTCTAAGTTATTATAGTTATAGATAAATCTAAAGTATTCTATGTATATATTTGTATGAAATTAGAAATTAACTGTTGATCGATGCATATCCCTACTACCAGGTAGGGCATGTAACCGGTAACCGGTATATATCGGTACCGATATTTCCAGAGATTATTTTGCATTTAAATTACCGCTACAATTGATACTTTAAAAAATTTAATAAATTCCTTTTGAATGGAACATTTTGTTTAATATATCAAATGCTTATATTATATAAATTTCGAGACATTTCGCACTAATATATAATAACAATCACCTAAGTTTGATATTTACCATGAAATTTAAGATCAAAAACCTTTACTTCATACGAAAAGTAAATACGTAGGTATTTTCTTCAGATAAATATTTCGCCTAATAAATTTGGTAATACAGAAACAGAAGTCTCACCACATTCGATTTATATTTCGTCTAATAAATTTGGTAATACAGAAACAGAAGTCTCACCACATTCAAACATTTTATGATTTGAATTTTTATAAAAGCTCTAGAATCATTTTGAGATCTAAAATTTATAAGGTTATTCTATATAAATATACTGAAGCTGTCGATTACGTTTCCCATATAATTGTAATATGGTTATTGACTTGACCCAAACGCTACTTAAATAAATACACGCAGCCAGTGTTTGTTTGACTTTATATTGCTTAGTTTCTTCAATAGATTTGAGTTAAAAAAATATATATTTTTATTATATGCGCATTCTATAGTATTTATGAAAAATTATATTAATTGCTTTCACTACTGGATTTGAGCTATGGTGACTATTTATATATTTTATATAAAGACATGTGTTTAATCAAATTATATAAATAGGTAGGTATGTAGTTTTTAAATAAACGATTAAGGTCGAATATGCCCGCATCCATTTATGGTATACAAAATTGAAAATTGCTCTTTTAATTCTTGATACAAAATGAATTTATATTACATTTGGTCAATTTTGTATTCATAATGCTATATTGACATTCAACTTCAACAAAAAGTTAATACTTTGATTAATATTAATTAGACACACCTTTACTCTTATAAATATTTGCATTTATTATATAGGTAATCTACAATTTTGATACTACCTTTCAACACAATGTTTATATATTATGTGTTACAAATAGTACATGTTTTATTGAAAATAATTTTCTGGGGTCAATGGTATTCATTTATTCTCTTAATTTTTTTTATTCAAACAATAATTCACTGCTCACTGATGGAACCGTAGGAAAGGCAAATGTTGCCTCTCCTACGGTTCATTCCCTTTTTTGTTACCGCATGATAAATGCACCTTTAAGCCTGAAATCAGTGCTCTCCACCCATTGGATCTGCCCCGATAGGCGCAAAGTCAAAGCGCGGTGGACCACCTGATAAAGTCGCTGCGATGTCCTTCACGCAAATAAATGTATCATCCTTGTATTCTTTGCCATCATCGTGAAAACGTAAAAACACATTAGTATTAACATGAGTTTTAATTTTTTTACAGTTCCAAGAACGTGACGGTAGCAGTATGTCATCACTCCCCAGTATTGCACAATCACCGGCTTCAAGCGAGCCGTCCACTTCGGCAGCCTCGACCAGCGCTACGGCCAGCAATAGCTTCTACGAACTGGACGAGTCAGTCGTCACGTCTCGTTTCATTTCTGATATTCTCCATACAAGGGAGAATATATCTCCTACCGAATCCATTTATTCAGGGGAGTCCATTCGTGATGATATCGAACTGCCATCAATCAGTGGTATGCCTAATTCCCTGGGCGCCATTGGTTGTGAATTTGCTAGGATCAGAAAGAATAAGAGTAAACAACAGAGGACATATAAAACAGACAATGTGAGCGGTTTACCGAGCAGGTCATACTAAGTAACCATGACCTGTTTCGGTTGCAAAAAAAGCTCACCAACGACGCGTTGCCTACATTGTAGAAACCTTTATTGCAATGACTGCTGCTATAATCCTATATCGGTATGTCAAATGAGAAAACACGTGCTTCACCCTATAGATCCGTCGTTTATCGGTATGATACCAAATCCTAAAAACAGTGATAAAGACGACATGTACTGTGAACTCCACGAAGATGCTTTGAAATTTCATTGCAAAGAGTGCAGTGCTTTTATTTGCCATAAATGCACTCTGTGGGATCATAAAGACCATGACTACATTCCAGTTAACGGTGTTTTCGATAAACTTACTCGTTTAGATATGATGGATGTAATAAAAGACGCTATAATCAGTACGAGTACAATTAAAACTGAAATCGATCGCGTGACGGCAATGTCAAAAGAAAGAAACTGCGGAAGCTGAAAATAAAATCAGAACAGCTATGCAGTATTTGCCTAAGGCTATTGAAGACCATGAAAAGTACCTTTTGGATAAGGTTGCAAATATGCGTCAGACGAGGATGAAGGAATTGTCTCGTCATATAAATAAATTGAATGGTATGCTCGAAGGCTTATCTCGTTCAAACGACTCATTAATGCGAAATATAGATGCACAAGGAGTGGAGTTATTTATAGTCAAAGAAAATAGTAGAGCTCTGGTGGATCATATTTCATCTACGTTCGAAAATATGAATGTGAATGAGGAGAAAATTGGCTTTATTCCACCGAATCATTATTTAATAGAACAATTAAAACGTGAGTGCGATGTACAGCCAATTTCTCCAAGTAGCAATATATTACTTAATTACACTTTAAATCATCCTCGCCAGTCCTGCAGATGCAGTATTTGCAAACAGCTCAATAGTTTACCTCTTTCGAATCACAATGTGGCCACTGTTAGCGGCATGAACTCACAACCACGTTTTTATTCGAATATAAGGTCTGCCAATAGTCATTACGACTACCCTACTAACTATTCGCCATCGTCTAATATAAATAATGTTTCTCATTTAAGTCGTGAAAGTTCTGGAATCGGTACATCGGGCATTGTGACCGAACGCTATAGTCCGATTTTTTAGAAAATCAGTAAAACTAAACCATTTTATGGGATTTAAACAATCACGTGTATTAAATGTAATCTTTCAATTGACATTCATCTTAATTAACGTGTAAATTAACAACGAAAAAGATGTGCAATAAATTTACAAAGTGCAATTTATAAGTTTAGTAAAATAAACATCTAATCAAGTTAAAAATCAAATAAAAGGCAATGCAAAAAAGTTATAGTATTTTTAACCAACTTCAAAGTCGAAAAGAGGGATTTTATATGTTCGATGGCGATGTTATGAATCTTTTTGTTTTCTGTGTACTTTGTACTTTTAACTTAAATAATGTTAAATCAATTAATATGTGAATATGAATCCATAAAACGTAAAGCGAAAAACCAGAGTTAGCAGAGTGCTTGGTTCAGAGAAACCAAAATAAATCGGATAAACACAATTTCCTTCTTCAGAACTGATATTGCTGGATTAAATATGAAACTTTGTATCTTCTTTATGGAATACTATTGAAGCGTAAACTCTATTATGTATTTTTATACATAGTATATTATTTTTAAAGACCTTTCGACCTTTTGTACAGAAGTTGTATTTTAAAATTTAATAGTAAGTTTTTTACAAATTTGAATTCTTAGCATATAATCAATATTGATTAAAATTAGTTGTTTACTACATCACTTTTAGTTAAGAATGGGATAAAAAGTGAACTCTATAGGTTGTATAATCGTACATTTAATATTTTTATGCCAGATTCAAAAAATAACCGTGTACTCTTATTTCGACAGCATGCATACTGTCTATAATGGTCTTGGCTGTGACGGCGCTAGCGATGGATATGATGCTGTCGTCGCCATCGCTTACATTTCCTTATGATTATAGTGTTCACGTTATTATAACCGCATCTACCTCATTCGTAATGTATTTAAGACTGATTAGAATTTTTGTAATGGTAGGTAGTCAGATTACCAATTAGAAGTGTTTTGTCTACTAACAATTTTAATTTTCCTTCTATCATTTATTATAAAAGTGTTTGTGTATAGATGTGTTAGTTTGTGTATTAGTTAATGGAGAATTGAATTTACCAATTATATGGTGCTATTATTATTATGATTGTGATATTATTATTATTATTATTGTTATATTATTATTATCTCTTTTTTTTTTCTCAGCATAGCCGGTTATAATACTCAATACGGGCCTAAACCAAGTAATGAGTATGTGATGTGTGACCTATTCTTCTATGTTATCTTCGCTATTTAATGATGCTATATTATCCTCTATTTCCAAAAATTTCCTCACAATGCGACATGTGTTAAGTATAGCGGCTTTTTGTAATTTTATGTATGTGAAGTCATTAATGTTCAATAATTTTAGGCTAGTATGAAGATGTTTTGGGATTACTCCGGTAGTTGAAATTACTATTGGTACGATGTAAACTTTTTCCTGTCTCCAAATTCTAGCTACTTCTTCCTATAAATCTGCGTATTTATGTATTTTTTCTGTGATTGTTTTTGTTATATTGTGTATGTTAGGGATTGCTATATCAATTAAATATGTGGTTTTATTCTGTTTGTCTTGTAATGTGATGTCAGGCCTATTGTAGTGAATAGTTCTGTCAGTAAGGATAGCTCTATCATAATAAATTTTGTAGTTGATGTTTTCTAATATGGTACTAGGCTTATATTCATAGTATGGTGTATGATCATTATTTATGAGGTTGTGTTGAGTGGCTAGAGTTTGGTGAATGATTTTAGCTATTTGATTGTGTCTGTGGGTGTAATCGGTTTGTGTGAGGTGAGGACATGCACCAGTAATATGCTGAATAGTCTCAGAATGAATTCGGCATTTTCGACACTTGTCATCTGTAGCTGTGGGATCTTTGATTATGTATTTTCTGTAGTTTTTGGTGTTGATGATTTGGTCCTGAATTGCGATAATAAAACCTTCTGTTTCTGGAAATAATGAACCTATTTTTAACCATTTGTCTTTATCTATAAATGGTTGTTGAAGATCACTATAATGTCGTCCATGCAGCACCTTCTTGCTCCATTGTTCATTTGTTATTTCTTCTGTGTTTGAAACTGTGTTTGGTGGGTGATTATCTGTGTTAACATTACGTAGATTTAACGGTGTATAATTAAAATCATTTTCTAAGATTGTTTTATGAAGTAGGCTAGTATTAGATTTTAGCAAGAAAAAGTATTGCAATCTGGAGATCTGCTTTCGCCATAAATTTTGTAATTAATAAGACCCCTATCCCCATTCTGTCTTTTGATGGTAAGTCTTTCTATTGCTGATTTTGGATGGTGATGGTTATTTTTTGTAAGTATACATCGAGTAATTCTTTCAATTGAACCTATATTGGTTTTACTCCAGTTTATGACACCAAACGAGTATGTAAGCACAGGTATAGCATGGGTGTTGATTGCTTTTATTAGGTATTTCCCGGTTAATCGGCTTTTGCAGATGTTTGTTACTCTTCTTTTGTATTCACTATTATTATTGTGTTATTATTATATTACGTTATTAAAAGGTTGTTATAACTTTGTGTGAAAAATTAATTAAGTGAATACTACACACTTTTATCAATGTTAAATGTGTTTAGGTTTAAGTAGTGGTCTTATGATATCATGAAAGATTTGAAATTTTAAGAATCTTTGAAAATGAATTAAGTGAAAGATAGCAAATAGTTATTTTATTTTTAAACCTCTCTCTCTCTCTCTTACATAAACTCACACACACACACATACTCACATTGGCGAACACTACACTTAGAGATTTTATTATTAGTCTCATAGTCCACATACACCTACCTCAATTCTTGACTTGCTTATAGTTCTCAACACAATATGTTTCTAAACATGGTCATTGTTAAGTCGATTTTCTCATACCATAAATTAATATTTCTTTTCTATAAATTATATCTATTAAATTAAAGCTTCAAAGTCATTCTTGTCTTACCGCCTGAGGCGCAGATTTATGATTCTCCTTTCATTGTGAGGTTCCAGACAAACCTTATATTATTTCCAAAAAAAGAAAAATTAAAAACGTATATTTTCGCGATCAGATACAAAGAGTATTCAATGTCGAAAACAGGTGCGAGTAAGAGGTGACTTAGTGAACAGTGGTACGGGTATCGATCGTATAATACTATCATTTTAAATCACCATGAAAATTTAAGACAGAAAACTATTTATATATGTTTCTTAATGTTTAAAAATTAGAAAACAGTGGATAAAGTTTACAGTCGATATTATACGTCAAATAACGCTGAGATATATTTTTGCAACGTATAATATATATTCTGTTATTTATGATTATATTCTTTATAATTATATTATATAATAATAGAATATATTCTATTATTTATGATTATATTATTTGTTTTATCATAATTCACTCACATCAGATATTAGCAAATTAACGTTAAAATAATCCTTATGTAAATTAAATTATGTCAAATATGTATACAACTAAATACTTGATTATAGAGGTAGAAACAGAATCTAAAACGACAATCAATATTATTTTGAGCGAGTTTAATACAAAGGAAACTATTGCAATAAGTATAAATTAGTATAAGGTATTCGTTACTGTAAATCATATTCACGTTTATTTTTCATCTGGTGAAGAAGGTTCACATAAGACGTAAAGAAAACATATTGTCTAGAAACACGTTTGCTACTTATGATATCTTTACTACAACCGGAGGTTGATAACCGATTTTTGTTGATATATTGAGTATTATTTTTAAACAAATCAAGAAAATATTTTCATAAATTAGATGATACTAGTGTTGGATATCCCGAGTACCTATATCTATCTTAAAAGTTTTAATATTTAATATATTGTCTATAAATACTTTTGCTACTTATGACTTATGATATTGAGTGTTATTTTTAAAAAAATCATGAAAATATTTTCATAAATAGTTCATACTAGTGTTGAATATCCCGTGTACCTATATCTATCTTAAAAGTTTTATATCATCACATGCTTAAAACCTGTTTGGTTAAATATGAAAGTTTATTTTTATATGTATACTACATTTTTGTTTTTATTTGTCTCTTTTGTAAAACTATGGCAAAAAATAAACATCAATACAACAAATAGACAGCGGTTTTAATTAATGTAATGATCATATAGTCCTTGCAAAGTCGGATAATTGTGAATACAGTGACTCAAACATGAAGTGTTATTAATAAACATAAAGATTTAGTGATATTACGTCAAAGGAGGACTTTTAATATTAACATAAGTTTCAAGACTTACAATTGTTATAAAACATATAGAAAAAACACATACAAGGATTTAAGCTAAAGATGATAAAGAAAAATTAAGAGATATATATATCAAACAGAAGAATTGTATTTGGAGTTTAAAACTAGTTTGAAAGACCACATTGCTATTTTAGTTATTTTCATAGTGTTATGACGTATGGTATATTGTTTTGGGGTTCTGCGGCTAGCATTCAGGATATTTTTATTCTACAAAGAGAGCTGTCCGTGCTATATATAATTTATGGTCTAGGGAATCTCTCAGAGAAATATTTAAAGAAATAAATATTCTGACTGTTGCCTCTCAATACATCTATGAGAATATTATGTACACAAGAAAACATTACGATTCCTTCACAAAAAAAAGTAGTGTTCATAATCTTAACACAAGAAATAAAAATAAACTTGCCGTTCCAAGCTTCAGACATCAAAAAACCAGAGGATCATTTCTGGGTAAATGTATTGCTATGTTCAATAATGTTCCACAAAATGTAATTGACCTACCCATAAATAAATTTCAAATTCATGTA